AAACTGACCTGGTGGCCGCTGAGTAAATGCTGAACACTGTGCTGCATGTTCTCGTGACGTTTTTCTGCCTCAGTGTCACCACAAGTCTTTGGAAGAGCTTCTTTCAGTCCTTGCCTTACATTTGGGAAGGATGAGGTTCAAAGAAGTTCAGTAGCAGACCTGCCACCTGACTCAAGATCTTCCTAAATTTTCCCCACTCACTGGCCTCTCAAAGAGGCTCTCTTGCTTTCTTTTCTCTCCAGGGCTTTGTTTTTGTATTTCCATTTTATTTAAGGTGACAGTGTGTATAATAAATAATCGAGTTGACCACAATCTAGTTGACAAGAATCAAGGGATAAATAAAGTGGATTGTTAATTACAGAAAAGTGCATGGATTTATGGAGGAAGAAGAGAGCCTGTGCTCACCGTGACACCGTGTCCCCTCGTTGTCGGGAAGTGTGGTGCCTGCTGCTGCCAGCTGTTGGGCAAGCCTGTCAGCCTATTGTCCTCTCTATTAAAAGCAGGAAATATGCCTGGGCCATGCCCTCCCCTCCTGTGTGCACTATCTATATTCTGCTTGTAATACCCTGCCAGCTTCCTTTGCATTCCTGCCATCCATCATTGCTCGCCATTCTCTCTGGTTCCTTCACTGGCCTGGACAGCCCAGATTAGGCTGTGAGCATAATGAATGAAGGGGAGGGCCTGGCGGGCCTTCCTGAGAAGCTCTTCTTAGGACCAGTCAACGTGCTCCTTAAGATGGTTCCTGACAGACAGCCCCAAGTTGATTACTCTGAAGCTTGCATTTTTCTATCTTACTCGAAACACAGGATATAATAGGAGAGATCCCAGGTAGAGACTGAGACCATGCAGTCCTCGGTCATAGCCTTGGATGACTTTTTTTCCCCCAAGAATGTTTTTACCAGGTTAATTCTGTCTGTTACAAATTTGGTGAGCTCCGCTTGGACTTTGGGTAAAGAGATAGTTGTGCCAAGTCCAGTGGGGATATTGCTTGGCAGTGGACCTGGAAGTGGGAAGGAACTTTCTGTAGGTAGATTTGGTTGGTACAGGGAAGGGTGAGCAGTCTTTTTAAAAAAATAAAATTACTCACTACCTCTTATTTCATTTAATCTCATTGTGCGAGCCACTGAAGAGCCCTGGTGACATAGTGTATAATGTATCGGACTGCTAACCAAAAGGTCGGCTGTTCAAATTCACCAGCCGACCAGTGGGAGAAAGATGAGCGGTCTCCTCCCATAAATATGTGCAGCCTCAGAAATCCAATAGAGGGGCTCTGTCAGTTGGAACCAGCATGATGGCCGTGAGTGGGTGGGAGCCGGTAATTGTGTCGCCAGCAGGGACTTAGAACAAACGATGCCATTACTGAGTTTCTGACCTGATGCACTGTCGTCCACGTCCTCCCCTCACTGATCTCTCCAGTTCTCCCCGTGCTTTATTTCTGGCTTGTGTTGTATCACTTGTTCCCTGTAATGTTGATATCAACAGATGCTTATTAGGCATACCTACTTCCTGCAGGCCTGCGGGGACTCGGGGGGGTCACCTGTTTCCTTCAGGCCTTCGGGGACTCGGGGTTGCTTATGTTTGTTAGGTTCTTGACAGTTTAGACAACAGTCGCACAGACCCGGCTTTGTCCATTGCTAATAGCCCCCTGCTACTTAGACCTTCCTTTTTCCCAGCGAATCTATGCTTTTATGGAAACCTTCATGAACTTGCCTTCCAGGTGGGAAAGGTTAATAGACATTAGAAAACAAATGACAGCAGTAGACCTTTGTTGAGTTCACGTGGGTCATCATATGCAAAATCTCCATACCTGGCCCTGTGGTCATTGAGCAAGGCACATTGGACAGTCCCAGGTGAGACCTGGGGCCTACAGGAGAGGTGCTGGGGGTTCAGTGTGGGCAAAGGCTGAGAGGGGGCCTATATTTAATGCACTTGGTGTGCAGGAAGATACCTGGCTCCCGAACAACCTTGATCAAATCTGTATTTAATCATTTTGTATCTAAGATTGTAGTACATTAGAATAAAAACTAGCAAAAAGTAAGAAAGCATCTATGCCAACTTACACGTGACATTAAAAGATGTATGTCTATTGAGCTGAGTGTGTTACTATTCCGTGTAGGTGTATTCTTCTCATTACCCACTGGCATGGAGTCAAGTCCAGCTCTTCGTGATCCCCCAGTGAGATCCTGGGCTGTGACTCTTTATAGGAGGAACTGTCCACCTCTGTCCCAGATTATTTGGTGGATTCAGACACTTCGGTTAACAGCGCAACTTGTAAAGCAGCCTCCTCCTCCCACCTCCCACTAACTTAGTGGTTCGATTCTGACGACATTCCATGATGTTTTTAGATGTGTTAATAAAGAAAAAGGATTTATTCTGGGTTGGGCTTGTTTCCCACCCCCCCCATACCCATTTGATGAAGGGGTGTTTTGGTGGTTTTTTTAAACTTTATTATTATTATTAATTTTAATGAAAATTTACAGACTTTGGATTTGCATTCTTCCATTGTTGCATTTTTCTCCCTGCCCCCTCCCCAGTTCACTGTGCTCTTTAAAAAGTAAAATAAAAATTCTTTCATTGTTATAAAATCCCTCCCCACCAAGTCCACTCTACTTATACAGCCTTCGCTCTGGACTCCTGTAATGACAATAATACCCAATCACATATCCCTTTCAAACAGTTCCCTCCCTCATCTGTTTCAATGCAATATACATCATTTATCCCATCTTTCTCAGTGAGGAGGTTGGGGTTTTTTTGTGAATGGAGAGATGCTGAAATTAGCCTTCTACTTTCCTTGTCAATCTACAAAGCCACTGACTTAGCAGAACTCTAATCTTTCTAATAAAAAAAGGGTAGGTTTTCTTTTCAAATGAAGGGGTGGGGGAGAAAACCACCTCATGATTTCAAAAGACTAGTCACTCAAGCCATTGTTCGTACTTTTATTCTCCAGAAACCCGTGCTCTGACTAGTGGGTATGGCAAATGACTCCAAGTGGTGTTTGTCTAGACTCAATGCTCCGAGCGGGCGGGCGTGTTGACCCAGACCTGCTTCTGAAGCTTCTCGGGAGTCTGGCACTTTCCATGGATCCTCAGAGACCACTGAGAGAGATGACAAATTGAGGGGACATTTAGTTGTATTTAGTATTATGCAAAGAACTATAATCAGTAACAAAATGTTTATATATAAACAGAGAACATCTCCCATGTGTAGATTTTTGTGATTTTGAGGAAGTCCACTTACCCTTGAGCTCTGTAACTATTGAAAGGGAAGATAAAAGCAGTCCATGAAAAAGAAGAAAAAAAAAAAAGGAAAAAACAGCAGTCCATGGAGGAGGAAATCTCACTTTCACACCATCATAGGAGACACTGAGGAGTAAAGCCTCACTTTGCAGGCAAACAAGCTGGCTAACAGAACAACCAAATCAGAGTACCTCATCAGTCACAAATAAAAATAGTGCTATCATGCACAGAAATGATTGTATGAAACACAATGTCAATGAAGAATAGTGTGGCACGTAATATATGTGAACTATGTCAGCAAACCAATGTAAATATAAAAATTCTGGAGCACATCAGGCCTCCTGTGAAAAGAACAGGACAGTTAGTGCTCAACTTAATTCCTCAGAATCACTAGAAGACGTAAATGGCTAATGAATGCAGGTGCTTATTGTATTTGGCTGCTAGCCGAAAGGTTGGACACTTGATGTCCAGATGATGCCTGGGAATAAAGGCCTGGTGATCTGTTTCCAAAGCTCTGTTTTGAAAACTCTACGGAATTCTCTTTGACTTTGACCCACGTGTTGCGACACATGTAAGGCAATCAGTACAGTGACAATGGTCTCTGGTTTTCCATACCAGCAAACACTATCTGCAGACCTTCTGGTTTCTTAGCTGGAAGGAGGGAGTTTCTGAGCAAAGCATGTCCAGATCCTATATCACTGTACCACTCAAAGAAAACCATTCACTTTCTCAAGAGTGAATAGAAAGGTGGAGCGAGACTAGCGACTGTTGTAATTTAACTTCCTTCTCATGGAGAGGAACGTGAAGGGTGGAGAAAAGCAGTTTTCTCAACATTTAAAATACACTTTTTTTCCCCAGACTCTTCGAAATTAGAATGTATCTTAAATCAGTGGCCTCTTAATGGCTGTCAACTTGAAGGCGGTTCTGATGGGTGGTTACTGCTTTGGAACGTGTGCCTCTGATTACAGTTCCTTGTGCTCTGACCCCTAAATGTTTCAGCTAATTAAATACTTAGAGATGCTGTAAGGAAGACATATGAGCATCAGAAGTGCTATATGGATAGTATTCGTAGGATGAGCCATGATTGTGTCAGGAGTTTGAGTCCAGATAGTATCAAGGAAGCCACAACATTAAGCCCTAGGCAATGAGCATCAGAATATTGGAACAAAATTTTGGATGCCCCCTGGAGCTCCTTTAAGAATACACTCTTCATGGTGCCAGCAATGATACTAAAAGACAGGCTTTACAGTAAGAAAAAAAGGAGAAAGATCCTATGTAATGAGGACATACTGGTTATAGTTTAATTCGCTGGGTGAGTTTAGTTTTATTTTTCTTAGTGATGCATAAAATAATTGTGTGTCTCACCATCAGTGAAGTCTTGCATTTGATGAAGTATGGTCAGTTGGATTTATGTGGGTCTCCTTTCTAACCTTCACAACCCTGGACAACTTCAAATGGCACGTCACCCTCCCTTCAAAATTTCATGTCTATTAATGACTCAAGATCAGATACTATGTGCTGTTGCTTTATATATGCCGTGCTTTCTTACTCTCCCTCTGAAATTGGTCTCTGGAATGAGGATGCTACCCATTGTTTATTCAACTGAGGAGGACTGGATTGAGCAAATCAAAGTAGTTTTGTAGATTTGGAAAACAATTGTTTTCCAAAATGGTTATACTTTTTGACATCATCCATCTGGCTAGGCCTGGTTTAATTATCTGTAAAAGTTCCAATGAATTTTTTCCCCTTTTCTTTATTTTAAAGGAGGCCCTGATGACAACTTAATTGAAGGTGGAGGAACAAAATTTGTGTGCAAACCTGGCGCCAGAAACATTACCGTTATATTCCACCCATTACTAAGGTAAGTCAGATCCTGTGATGTGCTTATTGAAGATCAATGATTTCATTATTTATGCTAATGTACCAACTGCCAATAGTTCAAACAGCATTGAAACCAATCATAAGAAAAGCTGGCCTCTTTTCTGTGACTTCATTATCAAAGTTACATAATTAATAGGACAGAAATGCCAACCAACCAAGTAGCTAGATGGTCTCAGAAATGAATGTCCTTAAGTACTTTCATTTTACTCTTTCTGTCTTTCATTCTTTCTCTTCCTTTCTTTCTCGCTTTCTCCTTCCCTCTCTCTCTGTTTTCCTTCCTTCCCATTCTGCTTTTCCGTCTTCCTCTGCTTCTCCCCCTTGCACTCTTTGACTTTCCCCTTTCCTTTTCTCTTCTCTTTATCTGTCTCTGAGTTGACAAACCACAGCCCATGGGAGAATTCTGACTGATGAGACTTTTGTGAATAAAGTTTTATTGAAACACAATTATGGTCACCTGTTTCAATATTGTCCCATGGCTGCTTTTAAGCTACAGCAGTTGCTAAATAATCTATATGGCTCACATCACCTGAGATGTTTCTCTCTGGCCCTTTAGAGGGAGAAATTCCTGATTGTCTATATTTATGATAAGGACTTGGAAATTCTTTGAAAATTGGTAGCTTTGTGAACAAATACAATTTACAACTAGAATAGACTTTATCAATTAAGTATACTGTATGATATAAAGAAAAATTTAGTAGCTAGAATAAAACCTATTAGAATACCTAATTTACTCTGATGCTGTGATTGTAAGAAAATAAGAATCTATGATACTTTAAATTTTTAAAAATTCTAAGCCTTTTATGCTTTTTAAAAGATAACTTATTAGACACAAATATTTGTTACCATTTTAATTGTATGCTTTGTTATTGTATATTTTCATATAATAAGCCAGAAATGCCTAGATGTAAGAAAATGTGTATGAATCAAAACATTACAATAACCTTCTCAAATAACACCATTAATATTTGAACTATTGGAGTAATAGATACATGCTAATTTATTTTCCAGAGACAGTATTCTCTGTGCTTTTATGACATGTAAAGCAGTTTATTAGTGAACTTAGCCTACCTTCTTTAAGGAACATTTATTAAATTGATACTATTGTTGTTATGTGCCATCGAGTTGCGTGTGACTCATGGAACTAGTTAAATACAAAGGTATTGTTTAGGAAGCCACTTACTTGAATTGTCCTTCCTGATTTTCTGTAATTATTTTTAAATGCAAATAAATACATACATAAGCAAACATTTCACTTTTACACAATAAAAAAAATAGAGATTTAAAAACACATTCTTAACCTTAAAAAATAGGCATGTCCGTAAGCATTTGCAGCATATGAATTTATTTAAGCATCATAGAAGCAATAAAATTAAGAATGTTTTTCTTAAACTGGATGAAATATGTTTACGGCATTGAAGTCTATG